TTATAAAATACTATATAATATTGGTGAGTCTGGAGAGTATTGTGCTGAGTATAATAGCTCAGCATCATAAGGACAAATATGGAAAAAGACCATTGTAAAAAATGGAAGGATAACTGAGCAAGTTGTGTATAAATGTTCAAAAGGGGAAGGGAGGAAGGAGAAGGGAACAGGAAAAGGGGAAGGAGAGAAAACTCTAGGATAACAGGTTAGTGGGCAGACGGGGGAGTGAAGGAATAGGAAAGATTCAACAGGGACTTGGAAAGATTGGATGATAATAGGCATGGATGAATAGTAATTAATTTTACTGTTGTAAACTTAATACAATATATATGACTGACTGTATAAAACACAATGTACATGAATGAAACCAAATTTAAATGAAAGATTATATAAAACAATGTACATGTATGAAAAAATATGTGGAGATAATTAATTCAATGACAAACTGAAAAAAAAAAAAAGATGGATTGCCACAGTGGCTGCAACAATGGACTTGAGCTTGGTGGCGATCATGATGAAGGTGATGCAGAAGGAGGCAAAGTTCTGATCTGGTGTTTCTAGAATCACTATGAGTCATAGCTGATTAGACTGCGTCTAACAATAACCACAACATCCTGACATCTATAACATCTTCCATTAGAATTTGAACTAATTGAACCAGGGTCCTATCTCATCCGTCTTCATAGACCCTCAGTGGCTTGCATAACGTTTGGGAAAGCGAGTTTTTAAGAGGTTGAGAATTTACTATTCCTTAAATTGGAATGTTATGCTCTTATTAAACACATTGTCTAGAGTTGAAGATTTCATTTTGCCATTCATACTTACCAATGATGCGGATAAATAAGAACTAGCATGATGTGGCTCCTGGCAGAATCCACAGGGAGCTGCACTGCTAACCCAACGGCCACACCTCGCTGGCAGTTCAAATCCAACAGCTGCTCCTCAGAAGAACGATGTACAATCTTCTCTTGTGTGATTTATAACCTCTAAAACTCACTCGAGGGTCAGCTGTGAGTCAATTTCAACTGTATAGCAATGAATTGTTCTTGATAATATGATGTAGTGGCTGGAATTAACTGGATTGAAATCCCAATTTTTTTGCTGCTTTATAATTAAATTGTGGTTGCAATTTATTTAACCAAATTACTTCTCAATTCTTCACCAAGTGAGAATTCTTGCCTCCAAAATCTTATTTGGAAATTGTATGCATATAAAGAATTTAACCAAAACCAAGCCAAAGGCTCACTGCTATTGAATCGTTCCAACTTTTTGAGTTTCCAAGGCAGTACATCTTAGGGAGCTCTGGTGGCCTGCTGGTAAGGAATTTTGCTGCCAAGCCCAACTTACATGATTTAAATCCACAGCTGCTCGATGGAGAAAGACAGGTAATCAACCATATAATTGATTTACAGCCTCCGAAAACCTGCTAAAGAATCAGCTGTGATTCAGTTCAGACTTGATGGCACCTAACAACAACAAATCTTAATCAAGTTGTTGGCCATCTTTCTTCCACGGATCAGCTGGTGTGTTCAGACCACTGACCTTTCAATTAGCTACCCAGCACCACCAGGGCTCTTTATTAAAAGCTTCTTCCAAACAAGCCCAATGCTGTCGAGTCAATTCCAACTCATGTTGACCTTCCATGGAGTTTTTAGGGCTGTAAATCATAACGGAAGGAAACTGCCCGTCTTCCTCCCATATGGAGAAAATGGTGTATTTTGACGTCTGATCATTTGTTTAGCAATCTAATGTGTTTTGCACTGAGAAGCTCTGGCAGCTTAGTCTGTAGAGAGTAGCATTGCTAACCTAGGAGCAGTGCCTCCCCCGCGTCCCAACAGCAGCTCCTGGGGAGAAAAATGGGAAATCTCCTCAGGTGTGATTTATAGTCTCCAAAAATTCAAAGAAGGGTTAAGTATGGGTTGATGCTGATTGAAAAGTAGTGAGGTGGTTTTCCATTTATCAGAGAAGATCACCATTATGCTCACAGATTCAGGTGTGCATGCCGTTCCCTGCATTGCCTAGTTGAGAAACCAGTCATGCCGGCACCGGCATGCACAACACTTGCTCCTTTTCCAAGATGGGTAAGTGATTTGGGCTTCAAACCTACAGCCCAGCCTCTTAAAGACTTAACGCTGGTAAAGTCCTTAGAAATGTAAACATGAGAAGGAATAGTGTTATGACAAACAAGGAATGGACTTCCTTGTGAAGCAGTGATCCCCATCTCTGGAAGGATTTGGGAAGAAAGGATTCACCATCTGCCAGCGGTTAGTTGAGGGGAGTCCTATTTCGGGTTGGAGCCTAGGCTTACTTGGTGAGTCTCATCAAGGATGAAGAACCATGTCAAAATTTCTGGTGGTCAATGAGTAACAAAAACAATAACACTTTGTAGTTTCTGTTCTATAAGCCAATAGAGGAGAAAACTCACCACCATTATCTTAGCTGGTTATATGTGCAGAAGATACACTGTCAATGCTTTAGGAAGTATAAGTGTAAAATGTTGAAAAAGATTTGATTATTTTTGTAGTCCTTTTAACAACAACAAAGCAACCTTTATGATTATATGATTATATATATATATTTACAAGCCATAATATTGCCCTGTTTGTCCTTATCATAGCTCCTAGCCGACTACAATTGATCGAGAAATCTTTCAGTGGCTGATTGTGCCATTTAATATAGTTAGATAATTTGTTGAAGGTATTAATGAATGAAAGACTGAGATTTAATAGATTAAATTTTCCCAGGTCTTGTGGCCTGTCATTTTTCCATATCCCTTGTGGTTCTGGTAACCCTGCTTTGAACAACCTTCACTTTGTTAATGGCTTTCTCATAACAAAGTTCTCAGACCTAAACATTATACCCCATGTTTGACTACGTGACCCACCAGAATAGGGCCTTGTGATAAGCGTGAGCTGAAACTGAAAACAAAATCCTGCTATTCAGTATGGCCAGGGGTCAGCAATGTCATGGCTTAAGGGTCCTTCAAATGCATTGAGATCAGGCTGTTAAAAAGCCGGAGGGAGAAGTTTGCCTTTTCTGCAAAGTAATATGCTTTTGTTGCTCGATAATCCCTATGGCTGAAGTGGATGTTAGGTTCGGTCATGGGCATGGCCCCTGGACTTTGACCCTGTGCCAAGCACAGGCCTAGAAATCTGTGAGCTAGAAAACGAGCCAGCTAATTTGAAGTGCATTGCATCAGACACTTCCCAGGGTGCAAAGGAAGGCCTCCTTGCTAGAAAGCATGGAGAATTTTGGCTCCTGAGAGATTGTGCTTAGTGACTTCAGCTCCCTTGGCAAAGGGTCAAACCTCTAGCACACAGCTATCATGTGGCTTGCCATAATTCAGATTCAGAGCTCTGGTCCTGCCTTATGTGGTAAAACACAGCCTCCTTTGAGAGATGCCGGCTCTTTTAGGCTAGGGGTAGCTTTTTAGAACAGTAGAGACAGAATTTGACATTCAAAAAAAACCCTTCATAACAATTTTCAAATTAAAAATTTGTTGTATTTGCAATGGGAAATAATTTGATTTTGAATCAAATTTTGAATTTGGTATTTGAAAAAGACTCTTCCCCCCCCAAAATGAAATGAAATCATGTAATGTGTAATGATGGATATATTGATGTTGATTAGTAAATCAGACACTAATGTGACTTTTCTCAACCATAGAAATTGACTTATAGTCAAGCAAGTTGATCTCAAGGCTAAATGCTACATGTTTCATGATTCCAAATATTCACCTCCTTCTGTGTGTAATGAAAAGTATGAGGAGTTATACACACTAATGCCTCAGTGATTCAGCAATAGTACTTCTCAGATGATCAAAACACTATTAATACAGGCCTTGTCACCTTTCCACCTGAATGCATAGAGTGTCAGAGTAGAAGACAAACTGGTTAGTGGGCTAGGGACCATGAAATAACAAGATACAAGACATCTTTGTGAGACTTATCATCTCGGTATTCCTTATGACTACAAAAGAAAGGTCATTCTGCAGTTGAATTTACTGAAACTCAGCACTAAAACTTCTAACGTTATCTGTTGTGGTGAGAGTCTAAGTCTTCTGACAAATTGGTGTGCCTCCCCCACTGTAAGCTTTACAAAGTGAGGAGTTGTTCTATAGTGTAATGTGTGTTGAAGACCCTTGAGCCTCAGCTGGTAAAACACATCTATGGGATCTTACTGTAGTCCAGATGCTTGTGTTCATTACTTCTAAAGGATACAAGAGATGATAGGGTCCATTTTTGTGCCTGTTGACACCAAGACAATAATTTCCAGGAGAAATAATCTACTCTCTGGGGTTGACCCCATTTCTTTCAGCTAGGTTTTTTGTTAACCTTAGATACTTCAACTTGAGAAACCATATCTGACACTATGTGATCTCTACCTTGATGGGATTCTCAAGGGGGAAAAAAATTGAAATATTTATGAAGTGTTTTATGTTTCATTGGAAGTGATGTCCCAGTGTGTAATGATCCCACTGGCTTCTCAAACACCTGTCCCTTCACTCCCATGCTGCCTTGGTTCTTCCAGCGTTGCACACCTATGAAAATCACCTTTGCCACCTTTTGAAAGCCATGTTTGGTGGCGAGAATGGAATTTTATGTTATTAAAATATCTAAAATATGTGCATGTGAGTAGAGGAAAGAGATGGCAGCAGGGTGGTGAGTAAAAGGGGATATTTCCTGAGGCGTCCAAGCTGTTAACCTGTGGGGGATGGACATTCTCTGACACTCACCCTGCAAGGTGAAATGGAGACTTGTTGGCCAGGACACACAAGTGACAGTGCCAAGGTCTGCTGTGGCCTTCTCAGTAACAGGAAACTGTGGGGTGCAGAACTGTGCGTCTGGCATCCTTCACTGTTACTGTGATAACTGATGAAATATTAAACGAATCCTGTATACATGTCTCAAGAGGTCTAAGAATAGGGGAAGTTAGGGTAAGGGGTCATGAGCAGAAGGGACCAAAGCCCTTTGGATACGCAGATGAGAAAGTTCCACGATAGCCACATTGCCACAAAGAAGCAGCTAGCTGCTAGCTTGTGTTTACTTTCAACTCAAAATGTTGACCTTTATACCCATACCATCACTTCTTATTTCTAAGGAAGTGACATGGAGTACCAGGCTTCACAGTGCCATCAATGTCCATGTTGACAGCATTCATGTCACAATACACAATCATGTACTGTAATTATACAAAATCCAAAGAATAAAATGTTACTACTTACACTGGTTAAAAATGAAACTGATAACCAAAAAGGAAACAAAACAAAAGGAAATCTCTATTGGAGTCCATAGAAATTCTTGACAGTATTACAAAAACGGTAGCCAAAGAATTGTCCTAGCATGCTGCAATTCATTGCTGTAACTTCATAAACTCCCAACTCTCTGAAGGAAGGATTATGCGTTTCCACAGCCTATAGTTTTTGAGGAAATAGCTCTCACATGGATGCAGATGAACAGAAAAAGGAATGCAAAGTCTAGGCACCAAGTTTGCTCAGACAGCAACAGAGTGTAAAGAGTCAGACTTCAAACTTTTGGAATCATATATCAGGCTTGTAGACAGAAGAACCTGGACAGTGGCATTAGTCCAAAAGGGCCAAGGAAAAGACACCCAACTGTTAATAAGGAAAAAACCATTAAGAACTAAAATAATTAAGATGGAAATTTTTTTCTACTCTACTTTGAAGTTAAGTTTTATATTTGGAACAGAGAAAAGATACACAATACGTCTGTAGGAAGGACATCTCTCTTCCTCTTCTATCTCCACTCCTTGCTCCTGATCCTTAATAGTGGGATGCAAATATTGCTGGTTCTATGTCCTTGGAATAGATAGAATTACCATTTCTTCATGTGTGACCATGCCTTTCACTCTCTCTCTTAAGCAATGAGGTATAATTGGATATTAACAATGCCTGATCCTTCCTGGGCTATGGGTTTGATCAATGGTATGGGCAGAAAACAAATCTACTTCCTGATATAGATCACACACGTACAGAAATTATTGCACTAAAATCAAACAAAACACAAAACTTAGCCCAACCCAACCAGCAAAGTGCCAACTAAACTCTTAGGAAGTGCTAGATACTTCCTGCCCTTTGGAGAGCATCTTGACCTCTGTAGTGTTCAATTGAATTCAGTCCATTATAAAATATCCAGAAGTGAAAGAGTCCAAAAGACACTGTAGGCTCTTTAAGGCTACGTCTTCCCGGTGCTTCTTCTGAGATAAACTATCTCCTGGCCACATATTACAGCGTAGGGGCCCTAGTTGGCAAAATGGCTAACAGGCTCGGCCCCCAAAATCCGGAAGCAAGGGAGAATGGGTACACATGAGGTTCTCACCTGTGAAAGAAGGGAAGACAGCGATCAGTTGGACATAGAGGAGGAGTCTGCTCCAGCTCCACCATTAGCTCTCAGCACTTGTTCCCTCAGCCCATGTGTTTGTGAATGTATCTACGAATCTTTCTGAGAGTCTGAATGTCTTCCCCCTTCACTGCAAAACTGGTTTCTCTCTTTTGTCCTTGGTCTTTATCTCTTTGATTTCTAGTGGGTTCTCCATGAATACCAATGTATGATGTCCTGTCTTGCTACCCTCTGGTCCATATGCTACCTCCCCTTCCACGTTTCTCTCACAGGGACTTCTGCTTCTCCCTATCTTGTCAATGGTTCCCCTTTCCAGCATACCCACACATGCTCGCACACTATTTACTGAGCTCAATGCACAGCTCACATGCTGTCACAGCCGAGGCTGCTTTCATGGAAAAAATAATAATTTGCTTGCCTCCGGAAACTCTATGTATGAACAGTGCTCAGGCCTTTCATTCATAGGGTCACTATGAGTCATCTACAACTCAACAGCACCTAACAACAATAACAATGATGACAGAGAGAGCGCTACGTTGGCCTAGTAGAAAGAAAGTTATGCTACCAAGCCGAAGGTGGGTGATTTTAATCTGTGGCCCTTGGGACAGGTTCAAATTGTCTTCCTGTCAAACATTCTTCTAGATGATATAGCACTGGTCTGTGCGTTGCTGTACATAGGAAACTAGTGGTTGCTGTGATGCTGAAGCCTGTGACAGTGATGTGCCAATCGTGGTAATGGGCACCCATGGTGGACAGTGTTGGCTGGAGCTTCCCGACTAAATCAAGCCTGGAAGCAGGAGCAGCATCCACTTCCAAAATGGCTTGCCTCTGGAAACTCTATGTACGAAAAGTGCTCAGGCCATTCGTTCATAGGGTCTCTATGAGTCGTCTAAGACTGGGCACCTAACAACAACAAGAAGTCAAAATTTAACTAGAGGACACTAAAAAATTTGTGTTTTTATGAAGTTCTTAAGTGCTTATATAATGGATGAAGATAAAGCATTTCCAGACTCTTTGTTATTATGATATTCAGCATTGTCATGCATTTTTTTTTCTTTACAGTGAAGGAGAGTTCACTCCTTCCTTGTATGCAATGGTGATAAATATTTACATGACATTTCCAGATAGAGGTGAATGACAATATCTTGGTATCTGATATTGCAGATATAGATTCGTTATTATAATTTGAGTTTTTTGTTAGAAGGACTGTTGTTGTTGTTATTATTAGTTACTGTTGAGTCAACTATGACTCACGGAGACCCTATGAACAACAGATCAAAATGTTGCCCTATTATGTGCCATTCTGTCACTCCATCTAATTGAGAGTCTTCTTTTAATGACCTTCTCCTTTTCCCAAGTTGATACTATGTTTGCTTGTTTTATATGCTAATGAGTAGAGGGATTAGAAGTCAAATCATCATGAGTTGCAGAAACTCCTGCAAGTTGTGTGCTTCGACAAAGGTATGCTGAAGTTCTAAGATCTTCACTATCTGTTCCTTCCTTTGTGATCACCCTGAGGGAGTTGGGGTGGAAATGCTAGAGTGACAGCAGAGTCAATACAAGTGTCCAGGGCTCTTCTCCCCATCCCTCGGTGAATTCCATCACACCACTGATGGGCTCCTCTCGACTTACCACTCCAAACTCTGAACTAGGACTTGCTGACATTCTCATATATGACATCACTGATACAGAACTGCTGCTTCTTCTTCATCCACATCAGTTGTACACATTGATGGATAAAAATATACTGTTCCTAGAGCAAAAGGCAAAAACATGTCTCAGAGCAAGCTATCTTTGTGCAGATTCATGGAAAGCTAGAATATTTTCATACAGCGAAAACTGTCCTCCTGCTTTGATTTGATGAGGTTGTTTTCCAATGTTTCATAAGCATCTGCATGGGATACAGTCTTAATGCTTTTCTGTCACTTATTTTATGAAAATAGTTGAGTCTTTGCTCTCTAGCAGATTTCCACTTTACACAATTTGTAGCTTTTGCATATTTTATTGTACTTTGACAATATTCATCATCAAGATTTCTTTTTAAAGGGGGAACATAATTTTCAATATTTATAGATAAAAGTTTATAGTTAGAAACTTTGAGAGAATCAACCATGAAAATAGTTTAAGATGTGTAACAAATGAACTTGGGGGAGTGAAGGGAGGGAGAGAGGGGGTAAAATGTGCAACAATGAATAAATTAAAATCTAACTTTTTTGTAAATTTTCATTAAAATCACAATTAAAATAAAAATTTTATTAAAAAGGAAAATAGCTTAATAGTTTATGAGACATACAATGTGAAGAATGCAACACAGTGTATGTGAATGGTTGTATGCAAAATAATAAAAAATGGAGTGTAGATAATCACTAATGTTAAAGGCAATGAATATTCAGTTGACAAGTAAGACTATATTAAAAAAATGAAGAACTCTCAAAACTTCAGTTTATGCTGAGGTAAATTCCAGAAAGCTTGATAAACAATAAAGTAGAAGACAGAGACTAAATAAATCCTCTAAAATAACATCAGAAAGGACTGAGTAAATTTAATAGGAGGAGAAATTAAAATTGAAAATGTCAGGTTATTATGTGTAAGAGGGAAAAAAAAGAATAAAATAAAGGACGAATCAGGAACTTAGAATGTAACAAATTTTCTAGAATGGCATAATGTTAATGCTTTTACACTTTAAAAATTCATCCCATCATATCATTTCTATTCAACTCAAAACACACTTAAATGTAAAAACTGGTAAAGTGTATCAACTACTAGATGAAATATCACTGCAAGGCAAGAACTATGTCTTCTTATTACTAATGTCCGGTACTTAATTTAGGGAGCTCTGGTGGCCTGGAGCAGTGCTGCAATTCCAAAGACATGTGATTCGAATCCACTAGTTGTCCTGTGGGAGTAGGACAGGGAATCTCCTCCCATGCAATATTCTGCCTCTGAAAACCTACTGGAGGATCAGCTATAAGTGGTTCCAACTCTATGACACACAATGACAACATGGCTTAGTGGTAAGGAGTTGCTCTGCTATTTCAAGGCATATGATTTGAATCCACCAGCTGCTCTATGGGAGAAGGATAGGCAATCTTATGCAATTTACTGCCACTGAAAACCTGCTGGAGGGTTAGCTATGAATTGCTTTGGACTCTATGGTACACAACAACATTAATTTATGCTTATCAAAATGCTTCTTGAATTAAACTAAATATTAACAACTAGCAGATAGATGTAGAAAGATAGTGAAGTAATTGAAATGTAAGTTTAAATAATTACTTGTCACTTCCAAGTTGAGAAACATTTAAAAGATAAAAGAAATAGCCCTCAGTGAAGACTGGGTTGAAGAATCGGGCAGTCTCTGGCCTTATCTTTGCTCAGTGCTTGACAGGGAGTGATGCATGATGACTATGTGTAGCTCTGTTTGCAGAAGCACTTATTTTTATCAATTGCTAAGTTTGTTGAAGCATTAATTTTTTAAGCATTCATTTGTATCTATTGTTGAGGGACATGCAATTAATAACATGCTAATAAATGCCATTTGTGCACAAAGATTACAGTAAATAGAAAAGGAACTAGTGTCTAAAAAAAGAATGGTTTCAGTAAAGGTATATCTCAAAAAAAACACTAATCAGCACTTATAAAGAGCTACAGAAGTTTAAGTAGTTTGAGTAACATGCATAGTATAATGTTAATTGAAAAATTAAGGCATATATATCCATCTTTCTCCTACAGAGCAGCTGGTGGATTTGAACTGCTTGACTGTGGGTTGGCAGTGCAACACCTTATCACTAAGCCAGCAGAGCTCCCTAAATATGTTATATATGTATGTATATGTTATTTCATGCTGTCAAGTCAGAACTAACTCACAGCTGACCATCCAGTGGGGTTTTAGACGGCTGTAAATTGCACAGAAGTAGAGTGCTCATCCTTTTCTTATGGAGCAGCTGATGGGTTTGAAACTCATACCTTTGGGATTGAAGTGCAGCTCCTTTTATTTGTTTGCTTTTATTTTATTGATATTTTAATGAAAGCTTATAGAAAACTTGGATTTCCATTCATTCATTGTTGTACATTTTCTTCCCTACCCCCCCAATTTGATTTTTTCTTTAATAAGATTGATTGTTGCACAGTTTCTTCCCTCCTCCCCACTCCCACAGTCCATTTTGCAATACACCTCTTTTTCTGACTGTGATCATGCAAATAATACCTAATCATATATTTCTTTTAGACAGTTCTTTCCCTCATCTATTTAAATGAAGTGCAGCTTCTTAGTATTGTTGTTGCTGTTATTTGCTGTCAAGTGGCCTGTGACTCATGGTAACCCTGTGTACGATATCTCTGAAGTGTGCCCTGAGCCAGCCAGTCTTACTGACTCTGACACACCTACCCCATTGCCCTCGTCACTGTATCAATCCATCTCATCTGGGGTCTTCCTCTCCTGTGATGTCTCTCCACCGTTTCAAGCATGATGTCCTTCTCCAAGGATCAGTCCCTCCTGGGCACATTCCCAAAAGTGTGTAAGGCAGAGCTTTATAATCCTAGCTTCCTGGGTGAAACTTGGTTTCACTCTCTCCCAAGACAGCCCTATTAATTTTTTTGGACAGTCTATTGTATGTTCAAGACTCTTCTCCAACACCACAGCTCAAAGGCATCATTTCTTCTTCTATCATCCTAGTCATTCTCCAGCTCTCTGATGCATAGCAAGTAATTACAAAGACCATGGCCTGGATCAGGCACACGTTAATCTCTAGACTGACATCATTGCTTCTCAGTACTGTGCAAAGGTCTCTGACAGCAGATTTACCAAGCAATTCAACTTTTGATTTCTTGACTGCTGCACCAAGTATGTTGATTGTGGAACCAAACAAGAGTAACTTCATACTACTACTAGGCCATCATTGTATATGTATAACAGTATATATATATATATATATATATATATATATATATATATATATATATATATATTCTATAGTCTATGATGAGTTGTGCTGTAAGCCCAAAAGTCACATTTCTCTGACAGTTCAAACCCCTGTGGCTCGTTGAGGAAAACGATGGGCAATTTCTTCCTATGGGACTTACAGCCATGGAAACTAGATGAAGGGTCAACTATGAGTTGTTTACAGTTTAATGATGAGTTTAACATACACATATAGTAATATATTTATATATGAATATAATTATATAAATATATAAAATAATTAATATATTTATATACATAAAACATGGTTAAAATTCTTTAGAAGTTGTACTTGAATGAAGATCAAAAGGAAAAATACGAAAGTTTTAAGGGTAGCTCTTTTTTTGAGAAGAAATGAATTATTTCAAGGCTTTTCTTGTTTTTACTTTGTTTCCCCAAATTTATGCAAAAGTAAATACTTTTAATACTTTTATCCATAAGGGTTTTTTAATTAACCTTTTTATTTTACTTTTTTTATTTCCATTCATTCATTGTTGCACTTTTCTCCCTGCCATCCAGTTTGTTCTTCTCTTTGAATGAAAAAGAAAAATTCTTTCATTTTATGTAATCCTTCCCCACAAGTCCACTCCACTATGCAGCATTCTTTCTGGACTCATGTCACGACAATAATACTTAATCACATATCCCTTTTAAGGAACCTTTTGTATCACATCCTTACACAAAAGTTAATACTTCAGACCTCACTAGATTGGTTCCTCAGCTTAACCAGTATTTTTCAACAAGTGTTGAAGAAATACATATCCTTACTTTTTGGCAGAATTTCCTCAGTAATTTCTTATTCTTATAAAATAGTTCATTGCCAAACACTGAGCATATAAATAAGGCCATAGATTGTCAGGTTTTTCATCTAACTCATAACTGCTCAGTGACAACATTGAGCCAAACTTTATGTTAAAAAAAAAGTAGCTAGGCTATAAGAGATGAAAATAAAAGACTATTAAAGAACAATTCCCTGGGAGCCCAGAAGAAATTTAGGTTGCAGATCAGGGCGATGATGCTAGAAGCCAAACTCTTAATTGTCCTCTAGAGAAAGACTATTAGAGGAAAACCACGCAAAACATTTGATAAAAATGGCAAAAAGCCCAAAAGAGAACATTATCCTCTGTATAGTTTCAAAGTACTTATTTATATTATCATTTTTTGTAAAGCACACTGTAAAATTCAGGAAAGCTGCCCACATTGTATTGGTAAATGGAAGAAGTGAAGTGTCTTAGAGCTCAGACCTCCCAGAGTGTGGCTTTCTTCCTAATTACTTCTGTGTTTGTAGAGGGCTACAGAGACATTGGGTGAGAGAAAGAAAGAGGACAGGTCAAAATACAGCCATGCCATACACATTGTTAAAACACTGGAATAGGCCTGTGGAGATGGGGGTGATTGAATCAATTGTTTTTAGAGTGAGGTAGAGTGGAGGGATCAGGATGATAGGTATTCCAGAGATGGTTAGAAGAATGATAAAACTGGAATGAGAGGAAACATGGTATATGCTTCATGGGTTGTTTATAGTCACAGGGACCTGGAAAATAAATCAACTGTAGAACCATATGGCTTTCTGAAAATAATTATTATCAAAGGAATATTCTGTAAAGATAAAAGTGAAGAGAACCATGGTTTACTTATTAACATGAATAAAAGGCACCAGAATTGGGTTGCTAAATTGGCTGAAGCATGATGAGTTGAGGAATGAGGAGAAATGAAGGTTAATGAACAAGATGTTCTAGAAATAACTAACAAAAATAAATAACTGGAACTGGAAGGAACCCATCACTAAATCCTGAGGGAATTCAAGGATGAAGTTAGAAAACTTGGGAAAAATAGGTAACCTATGGTGACCTTAGCCCTTTCTGCTGACTTTCAATTCCCCCCAGGAGAGTCCTGGAAAAGTATCACAAATGTAAAAGATATTGTGTCCCTTGAGATGTCAACTGAAAATGCTTCCATAAACAAAGAAACCAAATAAATAAAGCAACATTTGGAGCCCAAAGCATTTCAAAGTCTTTTTCCCAGCTTTGCTCAATCACTTCCTGGCTGCCCCAGTTTTCTTGTGTAATCACCACACCTTAAGAAAGAGAAAGGAGCTGAAAGTGGAATGGAGGATGGGCCAGGTGAGGGTAATTTTTTAAAAAAGAATTAAAATTCTATGGTTGGAGAAGTCAAAGCAAACAGGCTGTAATCAAAGCCTATATAGTAATAAAAGCTAGAAATTAAATGAACAGGGCAGACAATCCATCACATGCAAAATACTTAAAATACGGTGTTTCCCTTTGAAGCTTGAGAATTAATATACATAATAAGAAGTCTAATAACATATTAGGATGTAGACTTACGGAAGTGAAAGCCCAAACCATGTACCAATTAATAGATTACTATTTAATCACTAGCTAGAGAAGTTGTCTCTGGGAAACTGAGAAGTTCTAAACGTAGGGGTAAAAAGATGGCATTCAGTCTCTACAACAGTAAATTAGAAGGAAGCAGGGTTGGAATGAGAGTAATCTTAAGAAACAAATACAGACATTGTTTATGGTGAGGAAATAAGCATTTGAGTAAGAACGGTTTATCCTGTGTAAAGTGTGATGATCCTCCTATAATTCAGAAATAAACACTTTGGAAGGGTTGTGCCAAGCACTAGCCACAAAGGAATGGGGTAGAAGAGGGGTATAAAAAGGGGAAGAGAGAGAGCTGTAAAGAGCTGAGAAACCGGCCATTATTTAGAACTGAGTTATACTGACATCTAGTGGCAACTAGGTTAGGAAAACCATGAGGAAGACCAAAGCACGTTTTAATCCTCTGGAAATTTAGTAAGAGGTCTGGTCCTTGATTCAACAAGCGTTCCTCCCACGCACACTCCTAGAGAGAAAGGACTATTGTGTGTCTGAATCTGAGATGTCCAGTGTAAGAGACTGATTGCCTAGGATTAAGGACAAGCTATTGTACTGAGCTTCTTGCACCCACACAGGTGCCACGCACCACTGCTCTGAGACCACGAAATGCTGGCTCTGGCCCCAAAAGTCAGTTGGTCTGAGTGAAGAGTTGCTTGGCCTTAAGAAATCAGAGGACATGAGAGACAAGCAGGAAGAAGGAGCCTGCAAAAGTCAGTTGGTCTGAGTGAAGAGTTGCTTGGCCTTAAGAAATCAGAGGACATGAGAGACAAGCAGGAAGAAGGAGCCTGCAAAAGTCAGTTGGTCTGAGTGAAGAGTTGCTTGGCCTTAAGAAATCAGAGGACATGAGAGACAAGCAGGAAGAAGGAGCCTACAACAATGCTGGGCATTTCCGGAAGTGCCCCTTTGTTGTTAAAATGTTAATTTAAGTAAAAGGGAGCTGGAAGAACTGGTGAGCCTGGGGATTGATTAGGAATCCTTGAGAGTCTTAAGTGGACAGATCGCATAAAGCCTCCATCAAAAAGGAGTTGTGACAAGGAGTTACATGGAGGACAAACTAATGACAAACTATTGCATCAATCTGGTGTTTCATATGTAAATTCAATTTCAGCTGTTCCAGTTTCTGCTTGGCTATAGTATTCAGGTTAGCTGTTGTCTTTCAATATCCTCTGAGGATGGTTTGGGAAGCGAGCTGGTGGGGAGGGGTGGGCAGGGAGAAAAGTGTGGAAATGAATGAATAGAAATCCAAAACCTCTGTAAATGTCTATTAAAATGAATAATAATAATAATAAATTGCTCCTGTGATCTCTGGATTACTAAAAGATAACAATAGAAGTGTAATCACTATAAATCAAATCGATTTCTAGAGGCCAAAATTTTGTTCTTTGTTTTTTGTTTTTGTCCATTAGACACAGTTTGAACAGGCACAGGAAAGGAATGAGGAAGGTACAAAACAATCTGAGACAGCCTGTGATGAAATATGGGGTTGAATTATGGCAGATATTTTAGTCAAAGGCAACTTTGAAAAATCCATGTAGATTATGCTCCTACCTCTGTCTGCACCATAGACATCCGGTATGACCTCATTTCTGACACCAGCCCTAGGATGTCTACAAACTCGTGATCCCGAATGTGCTGCAAGAGCCTGTCCAGGGCAATGAACGTTCCTGTCCGTCCCACTCCAGCGCTGCAAAAAAAAAAAAAAAAAAGTCAAGACAGCACATCACTTAGACTGGGCTTTAAGAAAAATATTACAGGTGGTACCATTGTGAGCAAAGGGGGGGGGGATAAATAGTAACTTCCTGACATTATTTTCAACGTAACAGATTTTAAAGCATGTAGTGGCAGCAAATGTTTCCTGAGGAAAACAATGATTCCATGTAGAGCACTATGATGTGCTGATGCCTGCCCTCAGGGAACTGACACACAAAAGTGATCCTCTGTCTTTTGAATTGGACTCAGAGTTAAGCGCTAACCAAGCTGCAGGCCTAGTTGAGAAAACTGGGACCCAATCCCAACCTAGGGCCATAAAGATACGTGTAGATTCAGCTCTTAATTCAGCTCATAGTCTCAGACCCTTCTTCCACATCTACCATTTTTCCCCCCTGAAGAAGTTTTGGGCCTCTTTCAATCTCCCAGGGATATTTTATATAGATGCCTTAAAACAAAAAGTCTTTATACCACTCTCTTCCCATCTTCTTACACCACTTAGGGGGAAGGAGAGTGACATCTGGGGCAACTGTCCTTCTCAGTACCCAATTCTGCATTGTCTAATCATCTGTAGAATGAAGTGTTTACTAGCGTCGAACTTTAATTATGCAACACAGAAAGTTGATGTAAATTTATATGTGGAATTTTCTAGAAGAAAAATTAAACACTAAAAGCCTGGGGTTCATTGTCTCAGTTTACTTTTTCTACTAAACAATTCTCTCTCAGATGTATCTTCTCAGGGAATAATTTGCTCTTGGGTGTGTACCTATGAAACAACACCAGACTGCACCTACTGTCTGTCAGTGGTTAGATTTTCATGTGTTTGCTACTACAGTGAAGGAGTTGCATTTTCCATATCTTGGAAAGAACCATTTTGAGGAGAGATTAGTTTATCTGTAGAAGGAAGGTCTGTCAGTGCCTAAAATCAATCTAGAGCAGTGATGTCCCTACACTAGAAAGCTGGTGGGGGGTTTTTTTTAGGCATTTTTCTTTGGAGGACACACGTTTCTTAAATATACAATCTGCTACTACCCCTACCGCTTGCTTCTCTACCTCCCAATCCTTCCCACATTACCCACCCCCTCCCCAGCATTCTAATTCACAAAAGCTGTGGTCTAGATCTAGGATTAGAGATTTACTCTGGTTAGAGACTTCTAACATCTCTATTTCATTTCTATCTCTGATACACAAGCAGAACATATATTTATGTCTCACATTCCTTTGAGGCTACCTAAAAATTTACGGAGATTGATTCTGACAAAGCTTTGTAAACTAGGTAGGAAGGAAAACTTTAAGAAATAACTCTTCCCCTGAGGAAGGAGTGTGTAGGTTTTGAGTTTTGGTAATGGACTAGTTGATTTATTCCCTTTCATTTTAGGTGTCTGGAAATTGTCTGACAAACTCTCAAAGCCAGAGCAAGTATGCTTGTTTCTCTGAACGAGCTGAATATTTTAAATTCTCCTTCTGTTTTGTGATTGTTCCTATTATTGTGGGGTATGATTAGCTACTTATAATTTGCTTTTGCATCTGTCTGTGTTGAAAACCACTTAGATTCCTTGCTAGAGTAGGATAATAATACGTTGTATTTTTATGAGTTCTTGTAAGTCAGGTCTTTGGATACTGGCTTGCCTAAACTGCATTCTAATTCCCCCACTTTAGTTGTATGAACACATGGAGATCCTTTAATTTTTTTTCACTTTCATTTTTCCACGTCAATGTGAATATAAGACCTATCAGAATCCAGGATAACGAATGGCTTCATTGCAGAGTATTGAATATATAATAAGAAACCAATTAACTACAAATTTGATTAAAAAACACCCCACCACCAATAGTTCAGATTTGGGGTTGAGACTATTACCATGGAATCATCTTCCAATCTTGAAACAAAACTATGCCCCTAAATTATCTTTTAATGGAAAAAGCCAAACAAATAGCCCAAAAAGGAAAGAATGTTATCTTTAAGTACTGAGCTTTAAAAATTACCTTTATGAGACTAAAGACAATCGTATCTCTGAAGCACAGAGGGAGACTTTTGGGCCAGTGAGTCTAAATTAATAGGGATGAAATAACTAGAGCAGAAGTAACGAGGATAATGGCACCATGGAAAGAATGGAAATAGAGTCACTGAATGGTATGTATAGACATGGTTAAATGCTAGATTTCACCAAAAAGTAAATAGTGACATTTTAAAGATTCAAACTCCTATTAATTGTTAATGAAATATGGTTTATAGAATAATGGGCTACTTCCTTTATAAAAGCAAAGCTCCCAGTGCTTAACAGAAAATGAATTTGAGGAGGTTACCTGCAGTGTATGATCATGGGGCCTTTGCTCTTGGTGGCTTGCTGTCGGACCATGTATACAAACTGCAGGATACTTTCTGCGGCATTTGCCGTGGGTACACCATGATCAGGCCACGCAGTATAGTTGAAATGCATCACATCTTGCATCTCATCAGCCTTCAAAGGGAAAAGATGAAGGGATACATCAATCTCCCAGTCCACAGATAGGATGGTCCAGGCCTCCCCACAAGATCACGTGCTAGTGGAGTTAAGGAGATAGAGCCAGGTTGTACTCTGAGTCAGTGCCCTTCCCTGTCCAGCATTGTGTCTGGCACAAAGCAGACTTTGTAAAAATATTAATTGTATCCAACCTCCAAATAGCAGGATAAATAGGTTCATCCATTCCTGTGTAGGTAGGAACAAGAGCTTAAGTACATCAGGATTTGCCTTGCACCAAAGAGCTTCATCAGCATTAAACAGTATCTTCAATTCTGTAGAAGGTTCTGAGAGTGCCTCCCTGCATCCCCTTTATCATGTTGGTGTGCCCTTTCCCTAGCTGCTACTGCTGTTATGTGTGCCTGTACCCTTCTCTGTCCTTCCCACTAAATAGAGTGAAGAGGCCTAATGGTACAAATGAAAAAGTTTCCATAAGGATTTAGCCAAGGAAATGCTAAAGGGTCATTTTACTCTGCACATAGGTCACTATGAGTAGAAGCCAATTGAGTAGCTCCAAACATCACCTTACTAGAAAATGTTCAGGAGCTTACTTCCTTCTGCTGGCGGCAGCCCACAACTCATGAGTGTCTGGTATTAGGACACACAAAACTGGTACCATCGTGGGACAACTCTGTATGGCCTAGTGGTAAGAAGCTACGCTGCAATCCTGAAGGCACATAATTCGAATCCATCAGCTGCTCTATGAGAGAAGGACTGGCAAATTCCTCCCATTCTACCTACTTCCTCTGAAAACCCACTGAAGGGTCAGCTATGGGTCAGTTCTGACTCAACAATAACAATCTTCTCCATGGAGAGGATAATGGATTATGAATTATGTAAAGAGTTGCACTGCTTAACCAAAGCTCAAATTTTCCAGCCACTCCAAGGGAAAAAGATATGCAAACTCCTATTCAATTCACAACCTTGGAAACCCAATGGAGTATCAGCTATGAGTGGGTTTCCAACTCAGTCACAGGGAGAGTGGGTGTGATGCTCCATGGGCTCAGTATAAACCCACAGCTTTGTCTCTCTTCTCACTCTCTCTTATCCTGCTTCCTTTGTCTCTTTCTACAGTGACTGACTTTTCTGAAGCAGATTATCAGTCAGACCTCTCTTCTGTGGTGCCTCTGAGTAAACTTGAACTTCCAAGCTTTTGGCTAGTAATTAAGGACATCAGTCATCTGTACGACCCAGTGGACTCCACTGGAGAGAATACTCTCATAAGAATCCATGACTTGAGTTTGGTTCTAGGGTAGCCGACCCAAGACAAATTCAGCAAGTTTCCATTTCCTTATATTCGGGATGGTGGGATGGTTTCAAGAATGGTACCTATAACAAGGATTATAATGAAGAATATGTGTGATCAAGCCTGTGAAAGATGGTACACAAACCTTGAGTCCATGTAATTGTCATTGTTGTTATACACCATTGAGTGAACTGCAACTCATAACCACCCTATGAACAAAGGATCTGAACCTTGCCCTTCCTAACCATCTCTAATATACTGGATCCCACTGTTACAGTCACCAAGCCAATCCTTCTTGTTGAGGGTCTTCCTCTCCTATGTCAACTCTCCACCTTTTCAAGTATGCCATCTTTTTCCAAGGACTGGCCCTTCCTAAAAACAATGCCATTAGACACTGCTAAGTTGACTGACTTTTACAATTGTTATGTGACTACTACTATTCACTCCTGTCTAGCTCAGTGCATTTGTATGGCTCTGGAAATATCTACTCTGTGTGTATAATTTGTGTATTTATCCTAATCAAGTAAACTGTGGTTCCTTCTGAACTGATTACTCACAGATTAGGATGCGGATCAAGATTCACTGTTACTGGGTTGATTGGGACTTACAGCTACCCACCACTAAGTTTGTGACGCTGTGAATCATTATAGGAGATTGCCTCTCTTTTTCCCTCAGGGCAGTTGGTAGATTTGAACTGCTGACCTTTTGGTTAACAGCTTAACAATTAATACAACCTGAGCTCCTTAAGATGCATTCACCACCTCTCCTGTTAATATGAACAATAAGTCCACTGCCATAAAGTCTATTCTGACACATTGTGACCTTCCAACAGATTTCGGAGGCTGAATCTTTACAGGGAGATGGCTCAACTTTCTACTATAAAGTACCTAGCAGATTCAAACAACTGATTCATTGGTTAGTAGCAAAATACATAATACAGTGTGCGGCCAGAAATTCTTAATAATTTTAAGAATAAGGCTTTACTGTTTTGTAATCAACTGTCAGATACAGTCCAATTCTACAGCTTTGTTGTTAGATGTCGTTGAGTCAAGTATGACTCATAGTGACCCTATGAACAACGGACCTAAACCCTGTCTTTTCCTCTGCCATTCTCATCATCTTGGACACACCTGAGCCTATTGCTGCAATCCCCATGTCAATCATTTTCATTGAGGGTCTTCCTACATTTCCCTGGCCCTCCATCTTTCCGAGCACGATGTCCCTTTCCAAGGAATTGCCTTTCCTGACAACATGCTCAAAGTATGAGAGACAAAACTTTTCCATCTGTACATTCAAGGAACACTCTGGCTGCACTTTGAAGTTTGTTCTTTTGGCAGGCCAATGAGTTAATCCATCCCCCATCCTCTAAACTTGCTAAGAATCTTGAATCCACTTAGAAGATGGACTATTACATCTTAAGTTTGGAGAGTTTGACCTGACTGAGAATTTAGAAATAAAGTTTTGGTTCAAAGAAATTAATTCCAAGAGTGAGTAGTCTTGAATGAAGTTAGATTTTTACAAAAAAGAGTAAATTTATACCAACATATGTATTAATATACATAAACCAAATAGTCATCCAGATCCTGGTCCCTTTAGGATCCAAGGTCATCTGTCTCCAGAAGCATACAGGACCTCCTCCACTGTGCTCAAGGGCTCTTCCTTAAACTCAGGGATTGTGAAATATATAGAGATGCCCACGTTCACCATTGCTTCAGGGAGTATGTCAAACAAGTACTGCAGGCATAACATACTGTGAATAATAATTTCATTACCCAATATCATACCTGTGCAAAGTATATCCTCAGTCACTAGATAATATTTCCCAGAACTGTCTATGAAAATTCCCACCCTGTTCAGAGATCATAGGTTCTGAAGAGATTCTGAGGTTCAGAGATCATAGGCTGAACCTAAGATAGGTATATTCTAGGTAATATAGATATTTTCTATAGAATTGGTCTGAAAATTTTCACAGCTAAAACTTCTAAGCTGTTAAAAAAGAAGCTGAAATAGAAAAGGCAGGTATATTTTCAGCTGTGACTTAAGAAATGTAAGGGAAGGAACTTAATATTGGAGTCACTCCTGGCAGCCAGATAACAAGTTATAAAGTAACTAGAAAGAAGATTATTATTATTTTTCTGTTCTTTGATATTCATTTCTTACTAGTTAATGCTAATTGTTAAGTATTAGATATAAGTTATTATAATATTTTTCTTCCTTTCTTGTAAATAAGAAAAACCCATCTGGTTTTGTTTTATGTAGTAATTCCCGAGTTCTGTTCCCCTGACTTCCTCATTTTTATAATTCATATATTATTGTGTGAAAGCAGGAGTGACATCCACTTCCTAAACAACATGCCTCTGGAAACTATGAACTTTGAAAAATGACGATATAGAAAGGCTTCAGGTCTTTTGTTCATAGGGTTGCTAGGAGTCATGCTCGACTCAACTGCAATCAACAACAACATACATTGTTTTATGCTGAAAGTCGTTGCATATTATTATGAAGGGAATAAGAACCAATATAAACATGAAAGAATCAGGAAAATATATTCATTAACACAACACAGTGTGCTTTAACAATTTCACCTTTCATGAGCTTAAAATTTAGATTATGTATGTTTCTGGCCAATAGGGGGCACTCTGATATCATACGTTAGTAACTACAGACACTTCATTATTTCATTGCCATTTTAAAAAAAAATTACCTTTTTTCTATAGTGTCGTTGAAAGAGAAGCGGTCTTTTATTATGATCAAGGAAAAGAAACTTAATATTGAACATACAATGATCTGAGTGACTCTTTACTGGGTAAGAGAAAATTAGCATAAAAATATGCTTCTGAGGGACCTCTGGTGACCTAGTAGCAAGAAGCTGCATTGCAATACCAGAGGTCTCTGGTTCGAATCCACCAGATGCTCTGCTAGAAAAGGAGGGACAATCTCCTCCTATACCAGACAGATCTGATTTGATGGTACACACGTACAAAATAAAAATTTTAAAAAATTAAAAAAGAAAAAAAGAACATATGTCTATCTGATACTTTACTTTTTAAAAATTGATAAGCCCCTTTTCTATACAAAGATGAAAAAATTTATCCCCATTTGTCTTGTAGTTGTACTATTAATCTGGTTTATAGCCAAGAAAGCAAGCGGAGTTCAAATGGCATTCAGAGTGTCAAATAGTTTCTCTACTGGAAAAATGTTTGATATGTCACAAGGTTTTGTTATTTTTAAAATAATTAATATGTTCATTTATTTATGCATTCTCAAAAGATTAGGTAGAGAACAGAGCACTTGCTCCTGAAATCTACAGTCTACAATGGAGGCTGATAGAGAAACCGGCCTTGGAAGAAAGTAAAGCCAGAATGTTACTTAGAAATAAAGATAAGATTGCATCTCTCATACTTTGGGCATGATATTGTAGTAGGTGCTGGAAAAAGACATCATGCTTGGTAAAGTAGATGGTCAGCCAAAAAGGGAGGAAATTCCTCCTCAAAACGGACTGGCACGATGGCTGCACCAGTGGGAGTATGCAGAGCAGAGGCCGAGGATGCCAGAACCTGGCAGGGCTTCTCTGTATCCATGGGGCCATGTGTCAGAGCTGTCCTGAAGGCATCTACCAACAACAACAGCATGCTGTGAGAGGAAAGAGCTAACTGCGTCCAAGACCAAAGAAGGTGTTTAATAATGAGGAAAAGGTGACATTAGATCATGAAACGTTGAGTAAAAAGTTACTTGATGAACAAGGACAAGATGAGCATTTATTTCAAAGGACTGGAACAGCATGAAACTCAGGCTTTTAGAGTCAGACTTTAGATTTTCCTACATTTTTGCTGAAGTGAAAACTATTGTTAATGACAAGCAGTTAAGAATTAACTGTTGCTAATTAGTCACTAAAAAGTACTGACTATCTTCTGAGTATTTATATTGCACTGATACGCACAATCTTTGTGCTATCTGTATTAACAGTTAGCAAATTTCTATAAAGGGCTGTGGTGTGAATTATCATCTCATTGATTCCACCTCACAGTGATCTCAGGCTTTCCAGGTCATAAGGTCTGCTGCAAATACTCAAATTTCTTGCGTAAAAGTAGCCATAAAAAAAATGTACCTAGGCAACCATGCCCGTGTTCAAATAACAAGTTGTTAGGTGCACTGAAATCTGATTTTTCATATACCATGATATTTTGTCCTTTTTAAAATGTATAATCATTTAGAAAGTAAAAGCCATTCTTAATATGGCTTTACAAAGCAGATGACAAGTTGGATTTGGCCCAAAGGCCACAGTTCGCCTTTAAATGCGGTACTACACACTATTAGAAAGTGTTGTTTCTAAGGAGGGGACATTTAACTTTTTTTCTTGCTTTAAATTGTATTGTGGTACTTCACCACAATACAATTTAATGTAATGTAAAATTGCTATCTTAACATTTTAAAATATATCACTTAATTATATTCATTATATTAATAATGTTCTCTAGTAATTACTAATACATTTAAGATTTTACTGAGTTTTTTTTCCTATCAAATTTGACATGCAATATAGGGCATAGTCAAGTGGAAAATATCTCTAAACACTTTATTTTCCTTAGACTGTTGTAGGTGAAGAAGGCAACAGATCATTTTGGCACCACAATTAGACCTCTGAAGTCTGGCACAGAAACACTTAACATATGTTCAAAAGTTAGTCATCAGACAGATAGCAGGTCTTACAGGAAAATTTACTTTTCTGACATTCTAATAATCAGAAAGCAATAGCACTTCAAAAAGATGTGTGAGATCCTGATTATTCACACTCATACTCAGTGTTAACAAGATGCACTCATAACTGGCCGATCATTGGGTTTTCCAAAACTGTAAATTTCACAGGAGGAGTTTGTCCATCTTTCTCCCTCAAAATTGCTGGCTACTGGTGGATTTGAACTTCCAAAGAGGCCTGGCTGTTGGCTTAGCAGCACAGTTACCTACGGACTATGCCAGGGGCAGGCCTTCTTTAAGATTGTTGTTGTTGATTGCCGTCGAGTCAAGTACGACTCATAGCGACCCTATGGACAAAAGGTCTGAAGCCTTTCTATAATTATTGTCATTTCTCCAGGTTCATAGAATTTCCAGAAGCATGTGATTTGGGAAGTGGATCCACTTCTGCTTCTAAACCTGAATAAATCTGGGAGCTCCACCAAACACTGCCCATAATGGGTAGCCATTATGGTGTTTGGCACATGTATGGACTGCTAAGCAAATGAACAGGTTCATCTTGGAGAGGGTTAAACCAGGCTGCTCCTTGGAGGCAAGAATTCTGAAGCTTTGTCTGACATACTTTGGACATGTTGTAAGGAGGGACCAGTCCTTGGAGAGGGACATCATGCTTGGTGGAGGGACAGTGCAGGAGAGGAAGACCCTCTGTGAGGTGGATTCATTCAGTGACTGGGGTAATCAGGGTGGATGTGTTGGAGACAGTGAGACTGGCACAGGACAGAGCAGGGTTTAGGCCTATTGTACATAGGGTTGCTCTGAGTCATAGGTGACATGATGGCACATAATCACAACAACAATGGCACAGTTGTTCCATTATGGCATTTGAGATCCCAATGGCACAAGGTTCAGTGTCCCAGCAAACTCAGAATTACCTCAGGACAGCAAACTGACTAGAGTGCTGTATGATTTAGAAGAATATTCCTCCAAAATATAATAACAGGGCTTAAAATAGACATCATTCCTCAGGCCCAACTTTTAAATAGAAAGGCCCTTAAGAAGACCAAATACTGTAGAGATAGATAACTAGTTAAATATGTATGAGGCTCCAAGGGGATGAGGACTAGAGGAGCAGAGGGTTGAGGATGGGCAGGGGGTAATCACAGGGTTGCACAGTTTTATCACGAGAGGGGTGGGTAAAGGAAATGGTAAAGATCCAGTGTGAAAAATAATGTATGTGAGCTTTGTAAGTAAATCAGTATAAAAATAACAATTTTATTTTAAAAAAAATATATGATTAGGCATTATACATATGACAACAGCACCGAATAAGAGGTACATTGCAAAGAGGGCTGGGTGGAACAGGTAATTGTGCAATAATGAATGAATATTTAAAAAAAAATTAACTGGGCGTGGGTAAAGGGAGGGAGGGGGGTAAAATGTACAACAATGAATGAATGAAAATCCAACTTTTCTGTAAACTCTCATTAAAATAAAAAAATTAAATTAGTAATACCTAGAAGTACCTTTTGAAAAATCAAAATCCAAACAAAACAACCCCAAAACACAAGCTACTAAAATAGAACTTAAATGTTTATTTTCACATTTAAGCATACTCGTATTTTCTAAAATTATCCACTAGGAGTCTTGTGGTATAATGAATATAATGTTCGGCAGCTACCCAGTAAGTTGTCAGTTCTAATTCATCAGCTATTCTTGGAAGAAAGGTGGGCAGATACCTCCCATACATTTGTATAGCCTCAGAAACCCAATACTGGGTCACCCTGAGTCAGAATTGACTAGATATCAGTGGGTTTGGGTTGGATAGCATAAAGGAGTCCTGGTAGTAAAGTGGTTAAAACATTTAGCTGTTTACCTTAAGGTCTTTGGTTCAAACCCCTTAGCTGCTATGTGGGAGAAAATGAGGCAATCTGCTTCTTTAAAGATTTACAGCATTGGAAACTCTACAAGATAGTTGGATGCTGTCCTATAGAGTTGTTCTAAGTAAGAATTAACATAGCCATGGTGTCTACCAGTTCATAGATGAGCAAACCCTGGCAGGCTTTTTTATACATTAAATATTAACTGATGCTATTTTATTCTATCAATATGGTTAATATTTATGGTTCTTTGGAACCATAAAAAGGAGGGGGGAAATAAACCTTGAAGTAGAGAAGGCCATTCTACTCTATAGTCATGACTTAAAATTACATTAATATATGGCTAATAGTGGTAATAAGAATACTTCCTCAATGAAACCTGGTAAGTAATTACTCATATCTTCTCTTACCCTGGGCTAACTTGAGACAGGTTGAAGTCTCTTTCCTCTGCCACTCTTCTGGTCCTTCAGGACAACTGTTTCACCCATACTAGTCTTAATGAATGGGTGTAACTACATTGAAGGTGGACTTTGTCTCCTTAAAGAAACAGGGCTTCAAAACTAGTAGTGTTCATAATCTGATGTGATGAGCTCTTGACACTTGTGGGGTATTTCTGTAGCCCGAGGACAGTACTGAAATCTTCCAGACTTACATAGCAGATCCGGAAATGTCTGCATGCCCAATCATCCTGTTCCTCCTCAGAGATCATCTCCACAGTGATGTCCCCATAGGCTATGGGCTCTTCCGTGAAAGGCCAGTAATGGTCACATTTCACCTGAGGCAAAAACGGTACAGCCTTGTAAGATAAACAATTAGAAGAAACAAATGCTGGGCTGACCTGGGGGAATCATTTGGGAAATACAGGCATCTACCTCTGAAATACTGTAAAGAACTGTTGTGAGGATTGATTGATTAATTAAATCAATCAATCAATCCAGCAGAAGACTAGTTTCTGCTACACAAAAAGCACTTAATCAATAGTAGTGGCTGACACTGGCTTTGCTGCTAAATACAAACTTAAGCACTAAGGTCCCCATAGGTACTTACTCTCCTTTTCTCATTACACTGAGTGAGCATGACAATGATCTGAGACTTCTGTTGTAGGACCATCTTCCAAAAGTCGTTTCTGGTTTCCGGCAGTGGTCCCTGAGTGGCAATATACTCCTGGGGTGAGTTATATCCCTGAGAGAGAAGTGACAGAAGTATCACCTAATAATCTACTGCCAATTCCAAATGAGTAGAAACTAGAAATTAACTGGTAATAAGTCTAGGAAAGAATTATACATATATATGAAAACATCCCCTTTGGTCATTGTATTTAACTGTGTAGGTGGTCTGTGTGATTTTAAGCATTATTCTCTGTGGATGCTTATAAAGTCATATATCACAGTCATCCACCTATATTATAGATATAAATGACTGTTGTTGATGTTATGAGGTGAGTGCTCAAATGGAGAACTTTCAGTTTGTTTCCTGAAACTTTCATTTAAATACAAAAAGAACAGGATCTTTAGCATAATTGTTTATCTTTTAACTACTGCTTTACAAGGAAATTTGAGCATTGCCGATGTATAACTCCCTCCCCTAATTCTTTATTTTGAAATGGAATAATGGAAACACTGTTCTTTAGAATTGGACTTCTGGGTGGGGGTGGCTTTTCTTTCATAAACTCTCTGATACATCCGTGTTGTCTGAGTTGTATTCCTGTGGTTAGATTAGCACTTGGATGAATAATTTTGCTGTTTTTGTTTTAACTTACAGGAATATAGTTGGCATTTATGTAGTCTGCACCTTCCTCTTCATTCATGGATACTAATCTTACCCGACTAAAGTCATCTGCCAAGAGTGAGGGAGAAAAGAAATGGCAAAAATCAGAAAGGAAGGAAGCATTATATTGGCCCACTTTATCTAGTATCAAGGCAAATTAGCTGATAATACATACAGTAGGTTAAGTTTTAGTCTGACATTTTAACCTTACTTAAAGCTTATTGTTGTTAGGTGCTGTCAAGCCAACTCTGACTCATGGTGACCCCGTAAACAGCAGATCTGAACCTTACCATGTCCTGGGCCATCCTCACGCTCTCCCTCATGTTCAAGCCCACTGCTGTGGTTACTGTGTCAAGCTATCTCATTGAGGATTCACTTCTCTTTTGATGACCCTCTACCTTTTTCAGCATGTCTATCTCTAAGGACTGGTTCCTCCTGAAAATATGCCCAAATTAAGTGACCCCGAGTTTCAGCATCTTTGCCTCTAAGGAGCACTCTGGTTTTTGTTTAAACAAATGCACCATTTTCTCTCCATCATCTCTCATGTCCTTTGAAGAAATGTTGTAAAGATTGAGCATGTGATCAGAAGGGCTGTGTACCTAGAGTAACATATTCCGCTTGGTAAAGTCGAGGGTCAGTGGTAAAAGGAAGTTTCTCAATGAGATGAATTGACCTAGTGGCTACAACAAAGGGCGAAAACACAGCAAATATTGCGAGGATGGTACAAGTTCAGGTAGTGTTTGGTTCCTTCGTACAAAGGATCACTAGGAGTCCATAGTGAGTCCAGGCTGACTCAACAGGGACTGGAAGGTGATAATCACTAGCCTAAATATGTGGTTTCTACTTCACTTAGGGATATTCAGAGAATTCAGTACCTTGGGGAGACCTCAACAGGGGATGATGAAGTGGAATACACTTTTAAATTGATAGATAGGAAAAAAATAATTAAAATGTACATAGGTATAAAATGTTACTATATTGTTATTAGTGCCCATTTTCTTTTAAGAAGTATCATGCTTGGAAAGATTGAGAGTCAGTAAAGGAGAGGAAGACCCCCCAATGAGATGGACATTGCAATTTCACCAGTGAGCCCTAGTGCCGCAGGGATGTTGAGGATGGTACAGGACAGGTTTCAGATTGGCTGTTTATAGGGTTGCTATGAGCCTCAACTCAATAGCATCCAACAACAATAACATCATCAAGGAGAGAACAACTCCCTTTGTAGAGGTTTTCAACCTCTCTCTTCCCCCATTCTTAATCTCGTAGAGGATTTGTAACAGAGAAGAACATTAGATTTCTATTGAAATATACTTTGTCTTGTAAGTATTTAACAAAGAGGAAGAAAGGCATGGTGGGTGTTAGGCTGCATGATGGCTAACGTTGTATGACAATGTGGCCATGATCCTTAATATAATATTGTTTTTATTATAAAATGCTAAGGCATCACAGAGCTTGCCAGAAGTAAATTAACACACCATTCCCCTTTTAGCTTCCTATCATTGTAAGAGCACAAGCATTCTGACCTTATTCCGAAAGTATGTTGGAAGTCTAATGATATCAGAGCACTAAAGAGATCAGTGACTTTATTGTCATCACAGACATGGTTTTGATATTACTGACTACAGCTGCATCCAGTCAGAGATTTGCTGATTGCTGATTAGTCAGTAATAATCATGTTCTTTCAACTTTTAGAAGACATGAGTGGAAATAGCACTGTCAAAGATCTTACATGGTAGGATGTTTGTGTATCGGTTTTTACATCGGTTCAGTGGAAGATCGGCAGCAAAGTGTGGAATATCCAGTCCAATCAGTTTTAATTCCTGAAAATGACAGAAATGAATTAACGAAATATATGTACTTGGTGTGTATTAGACAAATTTTCACTCTTTGCATGTAATAGAATTATCACGTCCCATTTCGGGAATGTTCTGTTTGGTTTGGTTTACCCTTTTGTGCTTCTGCCAACGTTCATGAGAATAAAAGGGTTAAGGTGGTGAGCCTAGAATGAGGAGACATTTGGAATAGATGTAACTCTTAGTGCCTGAATTAGAACTACCTCAGGTAAATATTGATCCAGGAGGGGCTAGGGGGAATGTAGACTGTAGAGATATCCAGGTTGTTCCTTTTGCCGCAGCATCCCAAATCTCAACTCAATTAATTACTGTCTAGTGTGACTCATAGCTGACTCTCTGTTAGACTTCCACAGCTATAAATCACATAGGATGAGACTGCCTAGCATAGGATGAGGAGTTCCTGGTGGATTTGAAGCACTCACTAGATAGATTTGGCCTTTGGATTAGATGCAAAACTACAGACTATGGATTATGAAACCAAAATTCCCTAGTATTGTAACAATCATCTATCATAGTTCACTAATGTCTTAGAGAGCTCTGGTGGTTGCAATTCTAAAGGCACATTGTTCAAATCCATCAGGAAAAGGATAGACAAACCCACTGGAGGGTCAACTATGGGTCAATTATAACTCAATGGCACACAAAAACAACAATAATACAACAATGCTGTGAGAAGTTTGAATACAGAAATTATTTTACTATTTTTGGAGGTATTGGGTAACAGAAATGCATGCAGTTTTCATAAAGATGGTCAATTCTCTGAGGAAATGAAGATACTTTCCTGCAAACAACAACATTTTAAGCCTTTGAGAAAGCAATACAAGATGAGGTGCAATAGGTAGGGTGCCATCTCCATGATGCAAGATAAAAGGTTAATGGTCACTAAATATTTGTAATGAAACCTTGCAAGTTTGAATCATAGTTGTATACCAACCCATGAATAGAAAATTAGAACATTTAATTACCAGCCTGTATCTTATAAACTGTTATTAGAAGGTGCATAGTTAGGGTAACTTTTAATGTAGAGAATCATGCTTTAAAAAGTCCATGTTACTGGAAAAAGGTGTATAGATTGCTATGCCTTCTATCCTATAGGAAACAGAGGAGCTGTAATTAGAGAGACCAGTTAGCCTAGTGAACCAAAAGTGCTCATACCAAGTCAATGGTGGAGGACTCTAATCTGTGGCCCTCGGGCCTGTTTTTAATTTTTTTTTTTGTCAAACATTCTTGTAGGTGTATAGCCCTAGTGTGTCCACTTTATGCACAGAGGTAACCCATAGCTGCTGGGAAGCTGAACACTGTGACACTGATGTGTCAAAAGCAATAATGATTACCCATGGTGGACAGTGTTTGGTAGAGCTCATGATTAAAACAAGCTTGGAAGCAGGAGTGGCATCCACTTCTGTAAATAGCTTGCCTGCAGAAACCCTATGAACCTGGAGAAAGGATGAAAGTCATGCAAGTTTTGAGGACTTTTCATTCATACGGTCGCAATGAGTTGCCTACGACTTGACAACACTTAACAACAACAAGAAGGATGTCTTTGGGGCATTGCACGTATTTTGGTCTATATGGATAATTTTTCCTGAAGTTGTGCTGTGAGCAAACAATGCAATAGCGGTGGTATGTAGTCATATTCGTGTATGAGAATTTATGCCTGAATGTTAAATAAATATTAGTAGAAAACATAGTTATCTATGTGTGGGATTACCTATATATTGTATATCTCTCTTAAGTCTATTAAGTAAGGCAATATAAAAAAATCACCTTCTGTAAATTTTATTTACACAGCAGGATATTAATATTGCATATGACGTACACATTTCAGGTATTATTTCAACAAATCCTAACTTGGAGCAATACTTCTCTGAGGAAGACTTTTGGAGAGTCTTCAAAAGACTTTTGAAGGGAGTTGGAGGTGTCTGAGAATGAACAGGGCTTTCATGGCCTTTGTGCTTTGAGTCAAGTTTCTATGCAAAAATGTATACTTTAGAAATCAAATTTTTGGATTTTTTTCTGCTTTAAAAGAGATTTTTGGGAGGCAACTTCCCCTTCTACTGGCTGACACTAGGTTCCATAACCTACAGTCAACACACATGAATCAGCCTGGATTGTCTGCATTTCTCCCTTTGATTTTTCAATACTTTTGACTTTTGAAAATGAAAAACAAAACAAAAGACAATTCAATGCCTTGGCCTCATTGAAAGTAAGTCTTTGAGACTCCATCTCCTGGGTTTAATCTTCAGTTCACAAAATTATAAGCATTTTCATCTTGACCAAAATCCTTATTTACCAGATGTCTTTAAAAATGAGATTTTTAACTTTTCAACTGACTTTTCCTCTGTAAAGAGTTTTCAAAGGCTGACAATGTTGCTTTTGTAGGACAAAAAAATTAATTTTTAACAAATTGAGACCATATCACCATTCTGTTTATTTTCTTGTCAGTTATAAATGCTTAAATAATTTGGAAATATTAAGAAATCTTTTTATAAATTTTGTGAACAATTTATCAAAATACTGACTTATATTGATGTGCTTTCTGAAATTTGTGTGATCATGGACAGCAGCAGACCAAAAAGCTAGTGCCAGTTTAAGTATTTTAAGTATCTATATTATGAAGGCAATAATTTCTCCATATCTCATGGGATTATTCACTCATTCCTGAAGCGTCAGAACCAACTCATAGCTGACTGACTATCCATTGGGTTTTGGAGACTATAGATCACATGGGGGGAGATTGTTCATCTTTCTGTCAAATTTTTCTCTGGATTTGAACCACCAGAGAGGCAAAACCTTTCGATTAGCAGCACAACTCCCAACAGACTATGCCACCAGAGTTCCCTTACAAAGACTCCAGTTGGGGTAATTAAACAAAACAAGGAGTAACGTATTACTATTGCTAATGATTTGAAGATGCATTGGTTATGATAAATTTGTTGTTGTTGTGTACCATAGAGTCAGAACCGACCATAGCTGACCCTCCAGCAGAGTTTCAGAGGCAGTTACTCACACGGGAGGGGATTGCTCATCCATCCTCCTGTGGAGCAGCTGGTGGCCTTGAACCTTGTTCCTTTGGGTTTGCAGTGCAGCTTCTTGCCACTAGGCCATTAGAATACTAAAAACAATGCTTTATTTTTCTGAGCCACAACCCACAATTTCTCCCTCTTTTTTGCCAGTTGCTCTAAAAGACCAACAACTCTCCTCTGACTGTTCATTTTAAGTGTACCGACAGAATCCACAAGGAAAAAAAGCCTTAGACACAAAAGAAATAGTGGAGACAGATTGAAGCTGAACATTGGAGCACATATGGAAGCTGACTAACTGAGAGAACTTTAATTGTGTGTTGCCTCCCTGCTGTAAATGCCCTAAGTTGATAAGAGAGGTTTAATTGGCGGAACACTGTAAATGTAAATTGCCAAAGTTGAATTACAGCAAAGCAGGAACTGCATGTATACACAAAATGCTCTGCAATCTTTTGTAATTTAGCCTGTCACTAAGTGGAAAATCAAATACTATATTTCCAGTCCAGTAACTTTGCAGTTATTTTCTTTCCAACCATATGGAAACACCAGAGGCTTACTTTCATAAAGGCAAAATATGTGGCAATAGCCTGAAACCAACATAAATCTTGCTTGCCTTTCCTTTTGCTGGTTTTGTTTGTAAAAGTATTTATTATCTGTTTAGTTTCCCAGACCTTACTGTCATCCAAGTCCAATGGCAGCCTATACTGTGTTGGCTGTGTTTAGAAGCATCAAGTTTTAAGAACTAAAGCACAAACATATGCAGTATCATCATCTGAGAAGAACATAAGCTATATTCTGGTCTTAGAGTTTATAATAAGGACAGCAGGTGACAGCATCTGATGTTTGGGGATAACCTGGACAGTAAGACAGCTGAACTGCTTTACTAGACTATTTTGTATATAGGAGTCTGGATGGCAGAGAGCATTGTGTGGTGGGTTGCTAATTGAATAAGTTGGCAGTTACAGTTCACCAGCTACTCTGTGGAAGTAATATGAGCAGTATGATCACATAAATATTAACAGTATGAGAAATGTGGTAAAGCCTCACTATGAGTCAGAATTATATATCATGGCAGTGTGTCCTTGTTTTTGTTACTGGTATGTAAGGGGAGGGGGAAGTAAAAAACACTTGAGATGGCCAATGATGTTGATGGAAGGAGTTTCCTTTACAGGTAAGTAAAGACCTATTGGAGTTGGCATCATAATAAAAAGAGGATTTTGAACAAATGAAATACATTCCCCCATAATATAGAGTTTAATGTCGAAAATTTGTTGTTGTGTACCAAAGAGTTGGAACCAACCCATGGCTGATGCTCTGGCAGGTTTTCAGAGCCAGTCGATTGCACAGGAGGAGGTTGCCCATCCTTCTCCTGTAGAGCAGCTGGTGGCCTTGAACCACATGCCTTTGGGATTGTGGCACAGCTTCTTGCCACTAGGCCACCAGAGCTCCCTAGGTTTAAAAAAAGGCTTCAAGAAAGTCTAGCAACAGTTCTCAGGACTTTTCTGAGTTGTTCCATGTCATAGAGTCAACTATGATTTTTAATGACCCTACGAACAATAATTCTGACCCTTGCACTATAATAACCTCATCATCTCTGACACAGCTAACCACCCCATTGCCACAGTTACTGTGGTAATCCATCTCATCCAGGGTCTTCCTCTCCTGTGTTTACCTTCTTCAAGGATAGTCCCTTTAGGGATGGCCTAATGGCATCCCTTAAAAACAAACAAACAAAAACCTAGGCTCCAAGTCCAAAGGCAGGTGGTTTGAATCTGCTAATTGCTCCATAGAAGAAGGATGGTAAAAAAAAAAAAATAATTAAAAAAAAATAAAATTAAAAAAAAAAAGAAGGATGATCAATCTCCTTCTGTGTGATTTACTGCCTCTGAAAACCTGCTGGAGGGCCAGCTATGAGTTGATTCTGATTCAACAACACACAAAAAA